CTTGCCCGCTGCAAAGGGAGTGCAAACATAGCGCAGGAGGCGGCGAGTGTTTACTCAGTCACAGGTGTAACAAGTGCCAGAAGCGAGCCTGCTCCGGGGCTCGGGGCCCCATCGCTCCCCCTGCCCCTTGGGACACCTCGGCAGTCCTTCGCGGAGCCACAGTCGTTGGTTGTACCTGTTTAGACTATGTCTATTTACACTTATTACATAGGATATCTATTTACACTTACATATTAACACTTATTATACAGAACATCTATTTAGACGTGTTATCTGTTTAGACTTACATATTTTGACGCTTTATTATCTTTCAGACTTCTCTATTTAGACTTGGATATCTACATACAATTCTATCTATCTAGACTCAGATGTCTATTGGCACTTACATATATTCTCTACCTGGATTAAATATAGTATCTGCTTGGACTTACTATGTAACACACAGTAAGTGTAGATAGCTCTATCTATTCAGACCCTTCTGGTTTTAATTCCTTCATATATACACTTTTTTTTTTTACTTTTTAAAGTCCTTTCTTTTTTAATTTATACACGAGTTATTTTTGTATTTCAAACCCCTATGTATGTCTATTCAGATTTTTTTTTTTTTTACTCTAAAATCTTTTATATAATATAGCACAGGGTTTATTCTGAAAACCTTCTATATACGTAAATGACTAGTATTTTTCAATGTATGTAAAAATAAGAGATTTTTCTCTACTTCAATGCCTCGCACCCGTAGTTACAGTTTTTAATATTCTTTAATCCCCCTCCCTCCCCGAATTTTCAGGCACTTTTGGGCTGTGAAACCCCCTTTCTGGTGGGACATACCCCCTCTGACCCCCCTTGTCCCTCTACTCACCTGCTCTTCTGCTGCATTATTCCTCCCCCTCCCCCCCGTGACATTGGGGTACCTTAAATTACAATACCACCCCCCTTTTAATTCACCCCCAAAACAGGCACAAAACCAGGGTTTGCAGCCTAGCATTTAGGTTCAGGACTTACCGTTGATTATCATAGGATTTAGACATTACCATTTCTGTAAGTTGTCATCCTGAGTCTAAGTTACAAACAGGAAATCTTGGAACCAAAATGGTTGTTGGGGATTTAAAATTTATGGATGATACTAAATTTTAGTAGAAGCTGATATAAACTGGTTGTGATGTTTATTGATTAGTGAGCACGTTATGAGGAATTTGGGAAAGCAAAAAAGAAAATAATAATTAGCTAGATAAAGAACACTTAATTAAGAATTATATGTTTATGCAAGCTATTCCATGCAACTATAAAGCCATTAATTGTTGGTCCTAAATCTAACAAAGCACATATATTGCCTGTGGGTTGCCCCATGGGCTGTCCCGGTGGACTTGGGATTCACTGATCTGCTTTACTATCATCTGTAGGCACTTTGCATTCCTACCACCATAGAGGTGTCCTCTCTTGGTCTTTTACTAGACCTAGACAGGCTTCAGGAATGGGCCAGCAGGACCCTTAAGAAATTCAACAAGGACAAATGTGCCTAGGGAGGAAAAAACCCTCACGACACTACAGACTGGGAACTGACTGTCTGGGGAGCAGCTCTGCAGAAAAGGTCCTGATGGTCCTGGCAGACAGCAGGCCAAACGTGAGCCATCACTGTGCCCTGAGAGCAAGAAGGGCCAAGGACATCCTCCACTGTATTAACAGGAGCACAGCCATATGTTGAGGGAAGTGATTATCATCTTTACACAGGACTTATTTGGTCTCATCTGGACTAGTACATCCAGTTCTGGACCTCTGCAAATACAAGACCTTTACCAACTAGAGTGAGTTCGACAGAGAGCCACCAAGATGCTGCGAGGGCTGGAACATTTGCAGTGTGAGGAGAGACTGAGGGAAGGGGATCAGGCCCTTCCCAGCCTGGAGAAAAGGTGGTGGGTGGGAGAAGGAGGAAGCTCATAGCAGCCTTCTGGTATCTGTATGGTAATTATTGAGAAGACAAAATCAGGCACAGGGGTGCACAGTGGGAGGACAAGGAATAATGGGTGTAACGTGGAACAAGAGAGGTTCAGATCTGATATAAGAAGAAACTTTTTCATGATAAGGAGAGCTGAGCATTGGAATACAAGAACCAGAGAAGTCGTGCAGTCTTCATCTTCATCCTCGGACCAACTAGATAAAAACCTCAAGCACCTGGTCTGACCTCACAGCTAAACCTGCTTTGAGCAGGAGGTTGGACAAGAACAACCTCCTGAAGCCCCTTCTGACCTGAATTATTCCCTATACTCAATTTTTTCTGAAGTTGGGTCCACTGCTGCCATTGCACATCCTTTTCTTTACCCGAATGCCTTTCAAATAAACAATATGCCTCTAATTATTTTTTGATCACTGGTCCCAGTTTTGCCATGTGTATACCAAAAGTATAGGCAATCACAGCCTTATGTGATACTACTGATTCAGTTATCTAGGTCTGAATAGCCTTGCTTCCCAAATCTCCCCTGTCATTATTCTGGACTCTGCTCTTTCCTTGATTCTTCTACCCAGCTATAATCAAGTGCAAGGAGGTTCTTACCTTATGCAACAATATTTTACATACCAGATCAGTGGAGTATGCCTTGCATTATTCCAGCGTCCCCTAAAACCTCTCCATCATAAATTCCTGATCTGCTATTGGAACAGACAGTTATACTGTAGCTGTTACCATATTAGCTCTGCCCTACTTCCTTGAAGGAATATCCTTGTGCTCCTGTTGGAAGGCTTCCGTAGTCCATTTCATTGCTCTAACATCATGCCACTGTTTTCAATTATACCTTCCTCAGAATCTCTTTTTACCTCTCTCATTTACAACTTCATGTGGGCACGCACTGTGCCATAAACATGCTTTCTTAATGTCTCATTATCTCCTGAACAAAACTGTACTGTCAGCATCTATTCTTTATCATTCTTCTTACTGATAACTGTTTTTACTTCCTCCGATAAAATTAAAACATATACCTTGTGCCAATGACCTTGTGGTCTTGAACTTTGGAGCAGAAATGCTTGTAAAACCAACACACATCTTCCATTTCAGAAAAATGTAAATATTAAAAGAACGTGTAGGAATTCTACTGACTGCCTCCCCCACCCCCTCCATCTTTTCCTGAATCGGGGATGACCTCTGAAAAGGACCGCCTCCTTCCATTTGTTTTGCTTCAGTAATTTACAACAAACCTTTGAACAGCGAGAATCTTGTTTATTTCTGGACACGTGTTTCTATAAAAGGCTTTTCCCGGACAGGCACAAAGGCTATCATGATCAGCCACCCTGAATCATCTGGACAAAATATGAAATTCGTCGGCATAGATGTTCCTTTCTTCATTCTCCTCACCTACACTGCTCTTTGTAATGCAGGTGAGTAACTTTCAAAACTTTTGCTGCTTTTAACTACCAACTTTTTTGACTTCTGAACTTCAGAATACACACCTCGGTAAGAAATTACTGATACCATTTGCACAAGCTAAAGCAAAGGCACACAAACTGGCTGTTACCGGCACGGTGTCATTTTCAGCCCCTTCCTCTGTAATTTCCAGTAGGACAGTGGACCTTTTCTCTAAGTAAACAGACAATCTGGAGAATGCAGTAAATATTTTTAAAGACACAGAACAACTTTCTAGCTCCCTACATTGAACAAGCATTTCTACACAGGCAGGTCTTCTTGTATAGAACGAAGGCTGACTTTTATTTCTGACTCACCACCATTCCTGTTCTTTCCTGGCACACCCCCCCGTATTATCCCAGGATAAAGGAGGAAGGCCAGCAGAGAGAGAAAAAGAGAGACAGATTCAGCCTGGAGAAGAGAAGGCTGCGGGGAGACCTGATTACGGCCTTTCAATACCTAAAGGGGGCCTATAGGAAAGATGGGGAAAATCTTTTTAGTAGGGCCAGCTGTGACAGGACAAGGGGTAATGGTTTTAAACTAAACCAGGGTAGGTTTAGACTAGATATAAGGAAGAAATTCTTTACAATGAGGGTGGTGAAACACTGGAACAGGTTGCCCAGAGAGGTAGTGGAGGCCCCATCCCTGGAAGCATTCCACGCCAGGTTGGACGGGGCTCTGAGCAGCCTGATCGAGTTAGCGGTGTCCCTGCTCCTGCAGGGGGGTTGGACTAGATGACCTCTAGGGGTCCCTTCCAACCCAAAACATTCTACGATTCTATGATTTTACTGCCTTTTCCTCTTCTTGATCTCTCCATCCTACCAAAAAACCTAAACAGCCCTCCCTGTCCCTCCACCCCATACACAAGACAACACTCAGAGACATTTTCTCCTCATTTCAACAGAAGCCGACATACCTGGAACTGCAAGCATTTGCCCTTCATCCCCATGAGGGGTGACATAAATTCCTCCTTCCTCTCCTAGTCTTGTTCACACATTGTGAATGACCTTTGAGGAGCAGGTGAATCCAGCAGTTTTTGGGATGCAGATTTCTCCTTCCCAGTCCACTAGAGTCAGATCTGCTGTTCTCTCAGATTCAGGAAATTCCTCCTGTCTCAGTCCCACAGATGTGGATACTGCTGTTCCCATTTGTAGGTCCAGCCAGTACAGAGGCTGAGCCTCTGTTGCAAAGAGGCAGATACACATACTATGACACACAGGCTAACACAGAGCAGTGCTGTTCCTAGCATCCAAATAAACACAGACAGCACTCCCATAAACCTGCACACCACCCAGTTCTGTTCCTCCTCTCCAGCTGATCACAATGGAAGGTCACTAGCAAAACACAAACAGCCTTTCTCTCCAGATTCACAGATGCACCACATTCACAGATACCTTGCATGCTAGCATAGGCTTTAAATATGCCCATTAGCAAAGCCTAGATTCGAAGTTCCTTACATGGTCAACAGCTCAGACCTCGGCTCTTTCCAAGTGTGGGTCTCCTCCTACTGACTGGCTAGTTCATCCTGAAGCTCACTGACGATTACAACATGTGTGTGTGCATGCACACACAGAGAGGGAGGTGATACAGAAAATAGCAACAGGATTTAATAAAATGGCTACGGTGATCAGGTACAGGGCTCAGACAGAGAAATACACTGATCAGCAGCTTGTTTATGTGTGAGTAGCTCCTTTTATGTTCCCTTCTCTCCATTTTCCCATGGTTGTTCTTCACCATCCACCTTGACCCCTCCCTGTCTTTTTGCTTGTGTCCTCCCAAATAAGCAACCCTCTCCTAATTAGTTTTTCATCATTGGTCCCAATTTTGCTATATCCATGTCCAAATTTAGAGTTTCTGATACTTACCTGGGTGATCTCAGCATTGCATGGCATTCTTGATATAGTTACCCAAGCAGCGTTGCCCTTGCAAGATTCCACTCCCCAAAAGGTCCTCAGTACCCGCACTTGTCTGTGCAGCTTGTCCACCTCACTTAACTCCCCCTTAACTGTTTGTGAAATCCAGCTGTTCCGCACAGTGTTACTGTAATGTCTGTCAGCTTCTCACTGTTTTGTTTGTGTAGAGCAATTTTTCATGTCATGTCCAGGAATTACTCAATGTCTGTTCAGCTAGACCTCAGCCAGACCTAAGCCAAGGGCCTGGTCATCTGTCTGTGTACCTAGTCATCTTAACAGCTACCTTGCTAAGGTTAGGCTCAAATAAAATGCACAAAAGAAAGAAATTTCAGTAGCTTTTCATAATCTCATATTGGAGCACACTTTGTCACTAATGTTAGCTTTCCATTCATCCAAGAGCGCTAGCCTTCTGTTCTCATTGATTCCTGTGTAGGGTTGACAGTGACAGGACCCCATTCTGGTTTGCTTAAGACCTACACTCAGAAATAAATACAATTATTGACACTCACCAAGGGGCTGCTCTGGAGATTCATCTTTTTATTAGATGTAAAAATACCCATGGAGTTGGTGAAAATACGTACTGGCTGGGGGGTAAGTGTGTTTTTCTATTCAAAATGGAGCAACCTTAATATGCAGGTGATTACAGCCTTCATCTAAATACATTTGTAAACTAACCTAACCAGCCTACTTCATTTATTTATGATAATCCTTTAGATGATGTACTTCTGTTTCAGAGAGCATCTAGAAGAGCTCAATAGCATTCCTGACTATGTTTTTTTCTTCCTTTAACAAGGAGCTCAAGACTCTTGCTCACACCGATGTGGGGAGCTGCTTGGTACCTGTTCCTGCCAGGTGACGTGCCAGTCCTTGGGGATTTGCTGTCCTGATTACAAAGAATTTTGTCTTCAGATTTCTCCATACTCAGGATCTCTGATGGGAGGCAAAGACTTTTTGATTGAAAATACAGCTTTTAATGCCTCTTCTGTGCTAACATGCAGGTGGGCCATGATTTTATATTCTCTCTCTGCCAAAGGGAGGTAAACCTTTCTAATCTCACTTTCTGACAATAGGTAATTACCACAAAACAAGATTTGTCTATACGGGAGTGAAAGCTTACTTTGTAAAGCTGTCAGAATTCTGAAGCATGCAAAGGTTCTGCTAACCTTTACCCATAAGGATACATGTTGTCTTTATTTCTATACAGCATCATCTCATTTAGGCTGAGTTATTGGGTGATACAGTCATTACTCTGCTGGTTCTTCCCTTAACGTATCAAAATAGTGACTTTTCTAAAAGAGCTTCCTTGCGGAGCTCTTTAGTGTCAATATTTTTTTAGCATTTCCATTTTGTGAAAAGGAAATACTCATTTCTTAATCTGAATGAGAAAGCAAAAAGCAAGAAATGTAGCTAGGACACCTTACCTTTTCCCTGTAAGACAAAGCTGTGGATCCTCCGTGTGTCAGCCTGTATGACACCTAGGTCCATGTGTCACACATGCAATACATACGGTACACTTAATTTTACTGACCCCGATGTCCTGACGTTCTTTCCACAGAAGGTTCTGAGTGAGATTTTGGAGTCTTTCCCATCTGAATAGCAGCACCTGAAAAGGTTTTTAGTTATTCATCGGGAAAACCTTTGACCCAGGCATTCATTCTGTACAACACAACTGTGTGCTTTGAATTACCTGCAGAGTTGCATTACCATAGCCAATACAAACTTCACTGCAGACAAGCAAAGATACTACTTCCTGGCAGGCCGCAACTCCCTTCCAGTCCCTTGGAGTAGCTATGCAGTCACCATACACTAATCCTGAAGGGTCACGGGTGGGATTGTACTTTAGCACGCTGGGCAAGAGCCCTAAATGGAAGCAGATGGTTAAATAACAAGCAGTAAGTTCTGCGTTAACCTTTGCAATAGAAATTCTAGGACAGCATGAAATGACTTTTGTTGTATTCACAGGACTTATCAGCAAAAAAACCCCCCAAAAGCCAGAAATTCACAACGCCTGCATATCAAGGTCAATGTTAGCCACCCTGTAATCCTATTAATCCTATAACAGCACCTTTGTCTTCCTGCTGTCCCTTTGTTATTTGTTGCTAATTTATCATGTCCCCCTCCCCCAGTAAATCTAAGGCTTGCAGATTGCTGCGTATTTGTGCAGTGCACAGCAGAATCCAGACTGGTGTAATAAGCACAAAGTACACACGAATTTTTCCAGTTTATATTCACTGCCACAAGCAAAACAGCCATGGGACTCAGAATGATCTACACATGACAAAAGGTTGCTTAATGAAACGTAACTGAGACATTCAGAACTTTCCTTTTCTCAGTGGTGACACTGAAAAGTGTTTTCAACATCAACAGGTTCAAGCAGAAAATCAAAACCAGTGGCTATGTCGCTAAGGACGGAAAAGCCCACTGCATTTCCCCATTGCTGTATGAGACTGGCTTCATCCCTTTTGAAGTTTCTACAGATGATGGGCTGACATTTCCGTACTCTGGAACTTGGTTATCAGGTTACTTACTTAAATATACAGTATCTCTCTTCTTTCCATACTCTTGCTCTGCAGATGCAAGATTATATAAGCCTTTCCCTTTTGATCACTTTTCTTCTTCCTTAACAGGCTGTTTGACCTCATGAAAGTCATTCTTGCTGCCCCCATGTTAATTAATACTTTGAGAGGTGAACTTTCACAGCAATTGAGTTCTGCTGCTATGCAGCAGCAGCATTAACTCATAAAAAGTCCCGTTTAAAAATTAGGTTGATCAAAACAGTTCCCTTTCTGTGCTACTTCTATTGGAAAAAAACTGCATCAAGGTGGTGTAATCTAAGGACTACAGACATTAGTAAGGGTTGTGTTCTCTCAGCTTCAGCTTACTCTTTTTATATCACGCATCCTGTTAGAAAACATACCCAGGGGAAATACTGGTAAATCTTAAAATAATATAGTGGCACCTTTTCAGAGCTATGCAAAGCAGAAATGACATTAATCCTTTTTTTCTGTTCTGTAATGCAGTACATCACAGCAAAGTTTCAGATGGCGAAAAATGTACATTGGTAAATGAGACAAAATGGCAATACTATGGCACCCCCAACACTGATGGAAACTTAACTCTTACCTGGACACACCAGGCGCTTGCAGCAACTTGCATCAACATAGAAGTCTGGGGATACCAGGAAACAGGTAAAGTAACACTTCTCCTACCTGCGCACAAGCCATAATCACATGTGTAACTTATGTGCAGAGCGCTGCACTGTATGCGATCACTTTCACTGAGGCCTTGAGAAGAGATCTGCAAATATAAATAACTCATGACAATAGTGTCAGCTTTTCCTCTTCCTTTGCATATGGGCTGAGACATCTAATTTCAATCTTGTGGTAACTGTTCTTTTTCAGTGTTCAAAATTATTTTCTTCCTCTATGTGACAGGTGACAGTTACTCGGAAAATTGGTTGGCCGAATGGAAATACCTTTATACTCTGGCAAGAGAAATCCCCAATACTGGGAAATTTTCTTTCATCCCTGTACCCGCTAAAGGAAGCTACAGTACGTGGGACTTCGGAATTCTGAGAATTACACCCAGCAGCTATTCTGATGGGCAGAGGCAAGTACATTGCAATATTCATTTATCATAGGTACCTTACTATTGCTTCCTGCATTAAAGACGCTGTCTCCTTTTATGTTTAAAACTGGGACTCAGGCTCCATTTCACATGAAAAAATGGGAAGGGAATTGGAAGGGCAAAAGTGAGAAAAACTCATGGCTCAAGATACAGTTTACTCAATAAAGAGGGGTGTGGGCATGTAGGAAGTAATGCAAAGGCAATCATTCACCACCTTCCACAAGCAGACCGATGCCCAGTAAGGGCTGCTTTGGATAAACTCCCCTGCAGTTTTACTGCTGAGCATGATGGTCTGTGGCACGGAATATATCTTCAGTCAGTTTGGGTTGGGTGTCACGGCCGTGTTCCCTTGTAGCCCCTTGCCAACCCCTATCCTACTCCCTGGGGGCCAGCATGAGAAACAGAGAAGGCCCTGACATTGTGCCAGCACTGTTCGTCAACAGCTAAAACATCGGTGTGTTATCAGCACCGTTTTGGTCACAAATCTAAACCACGTCACCATACTGCCTGCTATGAAGAAAATTACGTCACCCCAGCCAAAGCCAGTACCCTCGGCAAACTAGGACCTGCCAATTTCTTCTGTCACAACTGTGGAGGAGGCTCTAATTGTGGAACTTTTGTCACTGCAGCCACAGGCCTTCCTCTGTGTTTTTTTTTTTTCTTCTATTTTGTAAGCAGGCCTTTGCATTCCTACAAATGTTATGCCCGCTTCCTTTAATTTCACTGTATATTACCCCGTATTTTTTTGCGATTTACCTCTGTAAGTGCTCCATACATATTCTGAGCTTGGATAGATGTTCCTTCATAATTCTTCCATGTCTGCAGTTTTTGATGTAGATGGTGTAGCCCCTGTGAATACATAAATACCACCTCTTCAGCGTGAGAACATATTACTAATACATCAGAATCTTTTTTTAGCATTTAGGCGTCGCTACTCACAAAAGGGTAACCTTGTCTCTTTCTAGAGCTTTTTTTTATTACTTAGTGTATGATATTTTTTCATGGGTGGAGAGCAGAGTAGCCTTGGAACATTTCAAGGATTCTTAATTGTTTCTCCCCGTCTATTGCCATCGGGCCTGATACTACTGGGTTAGGTTTTCTTAGAGAATATAGACGTTCTTCATTCTGGCGTAAATGGAACTACAATGTGAAAAGGCATGAATAGAAAACTTGTCCCTAAAAATATCCACGTAAGAGAGAATCACAAATGCTAAAATGTATTCTGATTATGGCATACTTGCTGCATGCTGTCATGTCACCTTCTAATTTAGGAAAATTGTATTTGCGGTAACTTTGCAGAAAAAAGAAAGCAGTGGCCTTTGTAATGAAGTAACAACTCGCAAGTTGAAAGATTCTTCATAACTATAGTTAGTGATTAAGGCACAGTGTTACTGTCAAAACAGCTATCCAATCTATTTTTTGGCTCTTTTTTTTTTCCAGCAACATTCCATCTGTGTGGAGCTCAGAGCATGCATTGGCTTGGCACCTTGGGAAAGACTTCAGAAATGACCCAAGTGCATGGGCAACTGCCAAATGTATAGAGTGGGACAGAAAGGAGGAGAAGCTTCCAAACTTCATGGAAGAAATTATAGATTGCCCTTGCACCTTGGCACAGGCAAGAGCTGACACTGGCAGGTTCCACGTAAGTTATTAATTGATCCCTTTGGCTGATTATGGTTCCAAAAAAAAAATAGGGAATGCCATACTCCACACACCCCCCTGTTCCCTCTATAAAAGTCATTACAAGAAAATGAAATTTAAATTTGCACAAGTAGCATGTCAAATGGCAGAGGCAGACACAGATTATCCAGGTAGTATGAATAAAAAAAGTGCCTGTAGGACACCAGGTGGAAACCACCTTCAAACAGGGAATTAAGACAGTAGTTCCAGTGGTAGACAGAAAACACTCGGGGAGGGCAGTGAGCTCTGCGGGGCTGGGAGCAGGGATGTCTTCTTCGAGATTCTCCAAGATGGCAGTCTGTGTCTGTAGGCAATATTCCATGCTGAAAGAAGCAGGCCACATTTCTGCCTAGTAGATCATAATTTGCTGCAAACCCTTCTGCCTTGCACCTCAGAGCTCAAGTCCACAGCTGCAATCCATTATTTCCTGTCTCCTGCTTCCTTCCTTCTTCTCAGCTTCGCTGTTAACAAGGAGCTGACCAAAGCTAAGAAATCAATTGCCATTTAGTCTACGCTTTTACTTACAGTGCTGATCTGAGGACCAGATAGGGTAACTTCCTCCCCTATTTACGATACCAAATGGTGGCAGTGTGTTTATGCATATTAAAAAAAAAAAAAAAAAAAAAAAAAAAAGGTAATTTTGTTACTATCTTCTCCTGGTTATGAAGCTCCAAATATGATGCATGTTTTAAATGATACAGTTAAAAGCACGTGAAGAAAAAATATTAGATCTACTGCACTTCCTCTGTCCAAGAACATAGGACAAATGTTAAGTTTAGTCTGGTGTAAATCTGTGTTTGTTATGCACTTACTGAATTCCCCGTCTAGCTGCATCTGTTGCAAGGTCTGTTGTAATAAACTGCAAAACAGTCAGGCTAGACTAACACGTTGCTCCAACCACTTCAATATTAAATTCACCAGTTTTCCTATCATTCCATCTAACTCAACACACAGACACAACCTGTTCATTTAGACTTTACACACGCATCAAAGACAAAGGATGAGGAGAAGATATAAAAAAGGCATAGAAAGAACAATGGGGAAAGAACCCCATTAAGCGTGAGCATTGATCTTTTTTTCAGACAGATTATGGCTGTGACATTGAAAAGGGGAGTGTGTGTACTTACCACCCTGGTGCTGTGCATTGTGTAAGAGCCATTCAAGCCAGGTAAAGAAAATTTGTTAAACTTGCTTTTTTTTTTATGACTTGTTCCACCTCAGAGAAGGTCACAGAAATCACAAAGGTCTCTGTACTCTCAGGTTCATAGCAACCTCTTAGTCACTTATTGTCCCTCATTGCCGAGATGAAGTTAAGGCATCAGATTTAATAAACAGTTAATTGCACTGTGCTAAACTTTAGGATACCGAAACAAGCACTAATGTCTAAAACAGATTTGATTAGGCCTAATTAAGCCTTTCCTGTGTTGTCTACTTAAGTTCAACAAGTAATTCTTTGCACTCTATCAGAACAGTTTTAAAGAGTGCTATGTTTGTGTAGCTATGAGGCCTACAGAACTTCCTTACAGCCTTGGTTAAAAACCCCTCCCTCCCAATCCCTGATCTAATAAAAACAGAGGGGGGCCAGGAGGGGAAGTCTAACTGGGAGGTATCATCGCTGGACATCATATAAAGCTTGGCAACCAAAGCATTTAGCTATATCCGTAAGAAGGCAATAGGTAACCTCTAAGAACTTCACAGAGCTGAATGATGACTTTCTTCTCACCGCTTTTCTCGACCAGTCCTCAGTATGCTGCAGGCCAGCAGTGTTGCTACGACTCCACGGGGACCCAAATGCTCATACATGACTCCCTAGGAGGCAGCACACCTGATCGAGGCCATGACTGGGGTTCACCACCTTTCATGAAGCCTCCCCGGATACCTGGATTTTCCCACTGGCTTTACGATGTCATCAGCTTCTATTACTGCTGCTTGTGGTCTGATAATTGTCACTTCTATATGAAAAGGCGGCCCTCCAGTGACTGCAGGATGTATCGCCCACCTCGAGCCGGTAAGGGCTTCAGAATTGCAATATGAAGCGTAGCTTTTTGCTATGGTGTTGGCTTTTAGAATATTTGCATATGTATATATGTCAGTTGACAATGGTGACGGTACAATCTCGTGTGGAAAATTTCCATGGAAGGTTTCTATTGATCTATCAGTGCCAAAATCTTTATGTGGTTTTTAATCGTCCTGCAAGGTTTTCTTCTGTTGAGTATCTCATTAAGCCCTGGAACCTAAGGAGCCAAAGTTTAGTAGTCAATTCTCATGACTTCCTATTATCAGTGGGCACTTTCTCAGAAAGAAGATGGTTAGGGATGGTTAATGATGGCTTGGCAGTAGCTAGAAAAGTTGTCATGCTGAAAAATGCTACTCATCTCACATACGGAAGTTTTACCATTTACAAGTGTGTCTATTGTTACTGCCCCTTGCTTTTAAGTAGTCTTTAAGTCTTGCCATATCGCTATTGCTGCCGCATGTCTTGCCTTCTTCTATGCTGCTGGGGTGCTGAGGTGTCCAGCAGGATTGTGGCCTCCCATAAAGAAGGAAAGTGCAAAGAGGCAGTGGTTTGCCTCAGGCACAAAGGAGAAAACTGCAGAGGGCACTGGAGGAGGCAGCTAGGATGTCATGTGACACAACACGAGACTCTTCCAGGATTAGCAATAGCAGAGAGTGTAAGTAAGTCCTTCCTGATTTCCCCCACCAAATTTTCCTGTCTGGGAGCAACAAAGGAATAGGGAGCTGGGAGCCAATGTGATCGTAAGGCTGGAAGGGCAAGGTCCTTGCCAGCCTGTGGCCCAGACCTGAGCAAGGTGAGCAGGGCGGACATGATGATGGCAGCAACAGTCAGCTGAGAGTCCATATGGTGGTGATGAGGCAGGTCTGAAGGAAAGCTGAGAAGTCAGTCTGCTGGACATGGTTGAAGATCTGGTCCAATGATGGTAACCAGGGCGAGACACAGTCCAGCGATTGTTGGGCAAGTCCATAGTGAAAAGGCATGCCCAAGGACAAGCCAGAAAGTCAGTCACAGGTCTGCATGGAGATCAGTGGGGTTCATGGCCAGACACAGGCATGGCTGTGTTTGTTAGAGATAGAGACAGGCACACCTATGACATAGCTCAGGCAGGGACTGACGTCCCGAGCCTGAGCTTACCTGAGCCCATGGGCAAAGGGTATAGGTAGAGGGCCTGGTGAGACTGGTCAGTGCATCTAAAGCCTATGAGTGTGCTCAGGGCCCTGACAGTTCCACTACGGGAAAGAAAGGCTACAACATGCCTCTCTTAGGCAAAGGCATGTTGATGAGGGGTGTGAAGCCCATGGTCTTTCCAAGATTTCCAAATGTACTTATGCCATTACATCCATCTCTCAAACATGACAAAAATCCATCATGCAGCTCTAACTAAGCACTGCAGATGCTTGTCTTTCTCCTGGAAAGTATATGCCAAACCGCTTGTGCTACTGCACAGCCAGAAGAGTGTTCGTTGATCTTGTGCAAGCCTAAGCTTCTGAGAAAACTCACCCTCAAATGCCACAGAACCCTCTGCAGAGATCTTAATGCTAAAGTCTTCTGAGAGCATGGCAAAGATAGATGCAGTGCAAAATCAGCTCAAACAAAAAAAAAATCACCTACCTTGGTACTTATAGAACTCTCCTGGAACATGGGATGCTGGGCTTAAACACCTCATCTGCCCAATATGGAGAAATTACTTGAACCTATCACTCAGGGGCAGGCCTTCTTTACTGTGGTTTTCTGTCATCAGTGTTTGTTTGCTACATGCATTTTGGTCTGAAAATCCCAAGTAAATGCACTAACTGCTGAGGAGAAAAAAAAATGGCCTTCTTTCCCTTGTTCTAATGAACCTGATTTATGGAGCGGATTATTTAACAATGGAGTGGTTAAGGACTTACCTGTCACACGGATGTCCTTAGTCATTGAGAGTCATACCTCAGATAAGATGACACAACTTCCAACTTTTTTTGCTGGAGGGGAGAGGGCCTTCTGATCTCTGACTGATCTAAAATGCAAGACCAAGGATATCTGCTGGACTCCAGAGAAGCTTTGGGGCTGAGGATCACTGCCATCTCTCTCTGTTCAGGCCAGATGAGATTTCAAAGCCCCATCCCATTTCTCTGACTGTCACTTCCAGCTACATTTGGAAGCTCTCTGGTGAGCTGCTTCTGGAATAGCCCTGTGTTCATGTCCAAATCTCCCCCATACCTTGCGTGCAAATCAGGCTTCTAGCCTGACAGCAAGGATTCTCTTAGGGGATCTACCAGTTAAGCACGGCTGCCCATAAAAGCCTTTTAAAGGGCAGCCCTAAATGTTGGCTGATGAAGATGAGAGTAACTGGAATGACATTTCTCACTGTTCCCACAGTGCTGTTCAAGGTTGTCATGGCTGTTCCTCATGTCGTATTTACCATGGATCAGCCTTGCATTTTTTCCTTCGTTTAAATGCCATTCTTTGGATCACCACAATGAGATTTTTTTTTTCTCACGAACCTAAGAAGACGAGTAATGGCTTGTGGTTTTTGCTTGTTCTTATTTCTCTTTTTGCTTTTGAAAACAGCATCTGCTTTTGGGGATCCTCACTTCCTCACATTTGATGGTCTGAACTTCACCTTCAAAGGCCAAGGAGAATACACGTTGATAGAGTCTGATCTCACATCCCTAAGAGTGCAAGGGAGGACACAACAGGCACACTTTCCCAATGGTAAGTTGGTAAGAGAGGAAGCAGTGATGACAAATACTATCTTCTGAGCTTGCTTGATTTGCACTTTGCAGCATTACTCCTATCTTCTCTAGTCTTCTCCTTTTTTGGCCATTTGTGAAAGGTCAACATTTTTAAGGTAATCAGAAGGCAGACAAAATAACTTCCTAATCAAAGATTATTTGCTAGTTTTATTGGGTATGAGTAATAGAAGTGTAAGGTTTTCTGTTGTGTTTAAGAGCTCAAGAAAGCAATTCTCATTTCTGTCCATGCTCATTCCCATCTATAAGGAAACATAAGGTCAGTTCTAGGAATCAGTCAACAGCCCTAGCTCTCAGCTGACGCATTTTGGTGGTATTTTAGCTGAAAATTAATAGAAAGCAGGTAAACGCATATGTTGACAGAGAAAAAATGTCCCAGAAGGAGATGAGAAAACATACTTTGGATGGGGAAAAAATTCTTTCTGAGCACCTCAAGCTACCAGAAAAGTACAGGATGTCTGGTGATAAGTTGGTTAAGGAGGTCATTTTTTTTATTCAAAGGGCATGATTCTTCTGGTATTTTGGCTTGTTTGTAAAACAAAACCAAGGGCAGAAGCTTTCTGAAGGTATCTGTGGCCTTCATCATTTGAATGGGCAGATCGCAAGCCAGCCTGTAAGAAGGACATTGTCATATACCTGCATTTTAAAATGAGGGAAAAATAGAGTAGGAAACAGCAGAATGGGATCATGCTTCTCATGACAACCTGAAAAGCCTTATGTCAGATACTTTTGTTTATGCTCTTCCTGTATCTAGTGCTATTTTACAGTGCGTAAAATAGCAGGCTTGCCTCAGGAAAGAATATTCCAGCTGGCCTCAGGGATGCACTTCAAGGATTTGGTACTTCTGGTAGAATTGTAAGGATGGACTAGAAATTGTCTGTGTGTTTCAGCACCCATGTAGACATGAATGCTTATACTGAATATCACATTGGATAGGATGGAGATTTTAAAGGAAATATTTTGCCTTTGAATAGATTTTACTGTGTTTGTGGTAGAAGTGGCGATGAGTCACCAAGCAGTTCATTCTGAAGATCAGTTTCTTAAATTTTTGTTCATTACGTTTCCTTTTTCTGTCATGCCCTCCCTGAAATTATCTTCGATTTTCCCAAGCCTTACTCACAGGACTGTATGTGCAAGAAGGAGATCAACCGGTCTTCTTACATAGCTCAGCCACTGCCATCGGGATGAAGAATTTAGAATTTCCAGACTTTTTTAGCATTAAACATTTTGCTTTCAATATACTATACTGGTAGGAGACTTATACTATGGGTTTTTATGTGACTTATATGCTTAGCAATTCCCTCAAATACAAATAAACATATTTAATTATTTTTAGGACATATCTGGCTTTTTTTTTCCCCTGTATCCTTATAACCTTCCATATTTACTTTATATCATGTTGGGTATTTTGTTTTGGTTTTTTTTATTTGAAAGGAACTGGGGCTCAGGTGACAGGCTTGTCTGCAGTGGCCATGCAGGAGAACAACTCTGATGTGATCGAAGTACGCTACTCAGAGGATTTGAATCTGGAGGTCCTGTTGAACAAGAAGGTCATCAACTTCTCTGAGCAAAGTTGGATGGACCTGAAGGGTTAGTTACAAATATCAGCCTTGTAAGCTATTGTACTCCCATGGAGCCCATGCATAGTTAAAAATATCTCTAGACGCACGTGTTTCAACTCTTCCCCATCCTTTTGTGAAACAAGCTACATGTTGCTCCAAAAATTTTGCAAGGAGTGGCCTTGGTGAAAGAAATTGAGAGCATGGTGGAGAATGCCCTTTCCATCCAATTTGCCTACCTGACTCTGTTTTTGTACTAGCCCAGTGCATGGATCCCTCTGGCCTTTGAGAGTGATGACAAACTACAGTATGGGCAGGAATATAGCCACCAGAATTATGGGCTACACATCTTCTTCCAAGTAGCCACGGATCAAGCATGCTACAGAGAAGCACACCGCGGCTATCTGTGTTCCCATGGAGAGGTGTAGCAGGGAGTCATGGTTCAGTTGAGCACATCAGAACTCGCAACCTTCCTGCTTCTCATCAGCATTACTGGCAGTTAGCCGAGCTGTAACTGGAAGCACCTGTGCTGTGTCCAGGAAGAGGCAGAGTCATCTGATTTGCCAGTAGGCTGGATTGTGGCATGTTCTCCTCTCCCAGAATGTCCAAATAACATAAATTACAACCTTTACCAACACCTGCTGCTTGCTTGAACTTTCTGGGTTGTGAGAAGAGTATGAAGGGGTGACATGCAATCCTGGCAATGGCAGCAAAGTGTTTTAACAGGTAGCTTCAATGCCCGTGTCTTCTATGTCCTCTTTCAGTGGCTTGTAGAGCAATGGTTTTCCTTCTCATCCTGTGGAGGGTGAATGGAATGAAAAACTCCTTACTCCACATTCTGCTTTGAGCTTACTGCATCTAATGCGATGAAGCCTACCTAGCAAAATGAAATAGAGTAAAATATAACTGAAATATATACTAAAATATAACTGAATTTCACATTCACCTATCAGCAGTTCTCTTGATTGGTCCGATGTTATTCCCTTATTCTTCTGCCAAAAAGATGGAAAAGTTGACTTTTTTTACCTCCGCGGGTGTGATCATTTGATTAGTCTTTAATATAATTTGACAAATACTCTAAACATTACTAGGATTTTAACAGTAAGCCTCTATTCAGCAGAGGAAGTTTTCTGTGGCTAGCAGTTAGTATGCCTCAAATGGCCAGAAAATATGATGAAGAGCAGAGGGAAGGCTACATTGACAAGGAACTGCAGAAGCAGAGAGGTGCAGGAAGGAAAAAAAAATGGAAGGGACAGGCTTGGAGAAGAGGCCACATGAGAGAGGTCTTGACAAGACAATCAAGAAGCAGAGGAAACCTGTGACCACTGAGAGCAGTGCTTCCAGCTCACAGCCCCTCTCTGATGTCATCATCTCGTATCTTAAAGCTTCTGCTCTGGGACACTGGCAGAAGGCAGTGCAGCTTGTTATCAACTGCGGGCCTTTTTTTGCTACTACTCTGTAGTAGCCATCTTAGCACAGCTGTAGGTATGAAGGTGTGGCCTCCCTTTAAATGCTTCTCAGAATGTAGCCCAGAGTGAGGAAGGGAAGAAAAGCCTTATGAAAAATGGTTAAAATTGAAGACACAACAATCTGTTCACTATGGATGATTAGCTATTTTTTTCTCTTCCTCTCATTGTTATAGGTCTCTTTCTGCATTCTAATGATCAGAAATTCACAGTGATGTTCTCTTCTGGGTCTGGAGTGGAAATACAGGGAAGCGGAGGATTTCTGACCTTAACAGTTCTGCTCCCAGAGAAGTTTATGAATCACACACAGGGTCTCTTTGGTGTAATGAATGGCAAGACAGAGGATGAGTATACCTTCAAGAATAAAACCACCATGTCAGTTCATGCAAGTCCCCAGCAGTTGTTTGAGTTTGGAGCTAACTGTAAGTAATTTCTCTGGTCTATTATTACATTTTCTTTACAAATTCAAAACAGCTTGTGATTTTCAGACTAGCAAATTAAGTCTGTGCTAAGCAACCTATACTGGGGGAATGATTGAAGACAGAACCACAATGGAGCATCCTGTGCTTTGTTCTGCCAAGAGTCAGAGCTTGTATTTCACAGCTTACACTTTCAGAATTCCATCTACTATGGTCAGCTGAACCAGACTGAAGTGTTGCAGAAGTATAGCAATAGCTAGGGTCAGCTATCTTTTTCTAGATTATTAGCAATGTTTCCATTGAGTACCATGCCGACAATTTAAAAAATCATATATTAAATCACAATTTAATAATTGTCCCTTTAAAAAAGAGGGGGGGGGTATGTGTGTAAGAGAATGGCTGCTTTCATTTAATGAAAGTGGTTAGGCTGCCATATCTAGCCTGCAGCATTAGACTGGTCAGAATTCCTCCTGACATGATTCTATGACATCACATTAAGAGATAGGCCAGAAACATGATACAAAATACCCTCTGGCTACCAGTTGATCTCTGATTCAAGCACAGCAGAGCCATACCCCAGGATTCAGATCATACTGAAAAGTCTCACTGTTCCCACTTCAGGAAGTTTCTGATTTAGTAGAGTGAAAGCAAAAAGCAGGGCCACGGCAGACATGATAATTTTAGGGACCACAGGATCAGGATTTGCGTTGCTTGTAATGCTTGGCTTAGCTAGTTCTGTCTGAGGTACTTCTTTATCACCATTTTGCCAGCAGGCATCTAAAACCATCTTTACGTAAAATCACAGATACAACATTATTTGGATCTAATTTTAAGTAACACCAGCTTAACCAAACACTAACTTCAGTACTAAGCTAAGATGCTGCATACGAAAAAGAAAATAATCTTGAACGGAAGGAAGCTATAGGGTTTCATAGATCTCTTACAGCTCTAGCTATGTAAATAAGCACTTGGATTATTAGCAGAAGGTGGTCTGTAGGTCTGCAGGAAATGTTACATATGAATCTCTCTCTCTCTCTCTCTCTCTCTCTCTCTCTGTCTCCCAAGGGGCTGTTCAAAATGGAACTTCTCTCTTTACTTACGACACGGAGTTCTTACTGAACAATTTCTTTTATGGGGAAAAGCACAATGCTTCCTTTCTGCCCGAGTTCTTTCCTTACGAAGACCCTGCTGATCCCTTGGTGAAAGAGATGATCTCACTCTGTGACTCTGACCCGTTCTGCAGATTCGATGTCCTGACAACAAGAAGCCTTCAAGTGGGAAGTTCCACAAGACTATCTCATCAGAATCACAAGCTGCTGGTAGAAAATCTAGAGCCAGGTGATACAACATTCCACAAAGCATCCATCACTACAGTTCTTTCTGCAGGGCATCTAAATAGTTAACACTGTTTGAGAAGGCTTTGCTCAGCTGTAGGTTCACGCACCTGTAAACACTCTTGTTATGAGGAGTTGTCCTTGTACCAGGAAAACTCTGCGCTGGTAGGATACTTAGACAAACACAAAATAAATTTCTTTCCATTTCTTCCACTACTACCCTGATCTTCATTTTCTATGTCTTCACCTGTCTTCCTCAGATTAAAAAATTAAAAAAAAAAAAAAAAAAAAAATCAGAAAGTATTGTCTTTCAGTTAGCCTAAAAATCTTTGTCTTTCCGTAAGTTGTCACTAAAACGCCATTTGAATCATTGTGATGGAGATTTGCTAGTTCAAATCCAAAATACATTAACCAGATACGTCTCTTTTACTAGTGATCTCTTGTGGCTGGCTGGATCATCCAACCAACGGAAGAAAGAATGGAACTAACTACCTGCTGGGTTCAACCATCCGTTTCATCTGCAATCAGGGCTATGAACTCACTGGGTCAAAGGAAAGAATTTGCCAAGTGACGGGGGCCTGGTCTGGAGACACACCCAGTTGCGTCCTGAGAACAGGTCTGTTTCCTTTTAAAAGTTACAAATTGACAGTAAAAAATCATTATCATAAACAAGGCAACCTCAGTATACAATGATGGCCCTTGACAAAAGCAACTTCTGTTACTTGGGAAGACATTGGACATGAGATCCCTGGATTTCTAGAAAGATTAATGTTCAAATCTAAATAACAGGCGATTTATGGTGTTTTGGTTTTTTTTTTTAATTTCATGTATCTACTAGTTCTAAGGGTTTAGGGCTACATGATTCCCTTTCTCTTGATTTGGCTGAAAGGAACTGTTAGGCATGCTTCTTGAGTGTATGACCTGAAATAAATTTCAAACTGAGTCTTAGAAAAACAGTAAAGGATAGCACTTAGCTAAAAATTACAAAAAGAACTACAAAAAGCCTTATTTACACTGTTTTCATGTAATTTCCTTATGTAAATGTAATGTTCTTTTAGCAGCGTTATAAATCTTTAATCTATGCATACATGCATACACATAAAGAACTAGAGATTATTGAAATCCTTTAGTATCCACACAATTTGAGCTACTTTTCAAGTATAAATGATGGCACAACCCCCAAGCGTTCATTGTCATCCTTCATTCTGTCATTGCTAACACAGTTTTAACTTTCTTTGCAACTAACTGGGGCAAACATATATCCAGTCTGAGCCATCTGAGGGGTGGGAGATATTCAAAAGCCGTCAGGAATGGTCCTGGAAAACTGACTCTTGGGTGGCCCTGCTTGAAGATGGGAATTGGACAAGATGACCTCCAGAGGTCCCTTCCCACCTCAACCGTTCTGCCATTCTGTGATTCAAGAGCAGACACAGCCCTCGCTTGTTGAAGGCTTCCACTCTCTTGTTCTAAAAGATTAGATTATCTCAAAACATAATGTATTATTCTATGGCAGTAAAATTGTCAATGATGTAACAGTATTAGTATAAATAACATAAATGTATTACTGCTCTTGTGTCACTCCTATTAGATTATCAATTAGCCTGGGACTGCTGGATTTAGTAGCAGTTAGGCTGTCTCTACGATTTACAGGAAACTGCCCAATATTTTCTAACAGTTTCAACTTTGGTTTTTTCATATGCCACATACACTCCAAATGTCCTGAAGATGGCAGTATTTCAAAGCACCAGGGCGATGCAAGGCCACATGGCATGTTGAAGCACTTTTAATGCAGAGTTAATTGTTCCCGAAAGTACTCATCAAATAATTCCTATCAACAGACTCTCCATTCTGAGCACCTTCCCAAAGAAATGTGGAAAGTGCACAACACCTCTGCAATGAATTCTTAGCCAGCTGACACATTTCATCAGCTTTTGCAGGCCTGCACCAATTGCTTGTTCATTTCCAACACAGTTCTGCAGGTAGAGTGCTATTTGTGAGATGAACGGCAGTGAGTCTGGGCAGCAGCCTGTGGACTTTAGCATAAAAAACAATTACTGAACATTTGCACATACAAGACAGGGAATGTTGCTTAATTTTAAATAGATGACTGAATGTTTATGGAATGTTTTCTTGGACCAGCCATTATTAGTAATCAATATGCAACTGATCATGTTCACAGGGGCCAATCTCAGTAGTGATGCTATTTTGGAAAGAGGGAAACTAGATGTATTTCAAAGCATTTCTGGTTAATATGATAGGCTAGATCATACCGAGTACTTTAGTTAACTGTTGAAAGTATGAAAGATTCAGTAGTTTAGCAGATAATTTGGCATGCTTCATAGTTCACAGTCATAATAGATCATCTGTCAAAAGTCTGAGAAGAATGAAATCTTCACAGAGTAAGGCCAGATCTTAAAAAGTCAGTGGCAAAACACTTTGCCAAGCTGAAAGCTAAGAACATTTTTCCATTGCTGCCATCAACCGCATACATACTGGATAGGAGCCAGTCAGTCTCAATAAGCAAACTGGATGCTGACATTTACACTAGAGAAAGGGGGGGCAAAAAGCCAGCCCTGAGAGATTGGAGGGAAGGAGTTGGAAGATACGCAGAGATTAACTGCATTCAGAATGATAGAGAAGTGTCGCAGCTTTATGGATAAGCAAATAAAAACCACAGTGTGTTCCAGCACATGGATTCCCGAGAGCTGACAAAGAACAAGGTGTGACAGAATTTTATTGATCTGATTGTAAAAAAGAGCTTCCTTACTATTTCATATTTGGGGTTGTAGTTCAGTTGTAATGTAAGCCAAAAATGATGATTTTTATCAGCCTCAGGAAGTTGGAGCCCATAGCAGCAGGATAATAACAATACTGACAACTGATCAAGACAATATAAAATACAAATTGAATACACAGCTCTTCATTCTTTTTTTTTTTTTTTTTTTTTTTTTTACTGCTGTGCCCTAATAATGGCATCCATATCTAGCCTTGTTCCTTCTTTTGCATCATAAGATACGCTGCTGGATATCAGTTTCTGTCCAAGAAGGTTATTTTATTGACAGGTCCAAGTCTCTCTGGAGAAGGCAGGCAAAACAGTCCAAAGTTCCTCTCACTTAGGTCTAAACCTTGAGTATTTTTATAGCAAGGACAGCTAGTACTTGCTTTCAACTAAATACATTTCCACCTCCATTTCTAAGACACAGTTGAAATCCAGTACCAGTTTTCCCTGTGTTGATTCTGAATTCAGCGTAGGTACAAAAAAGGTCTTCATGTTGTCAAAATCTGTTGTTGCTGAGATCAGTTTTCTTCACTGTTTTCTTCTTTACACAGCAGCTTGCTGCTGTTTTGCCAACATCCATCTTATCAAACCCTGTGACAGAGGGCCTTCTTGACGCCAGGAAAACGCTGACAAAATTAATGGACAGCACTTCCAAATTTCTGGGCGCCCGAATGGGTGACCACTGACCTAGGCACTGTGATTAGTGGTCACATTTTTACTTCCAGCATGAACTATTAAAACACACTTTTTCAAGTTATTTCTTTCATGCTGGTCAAGAACACAGAGGGCCCAGCCCTCTTACTCTCAGCTTTTGGGGGTACTTCTTTACAGCGCTGTGCCCATTACACTTGCTGCAGTTTTGTGGCACATCAAATTCAAACTCTGTATTGCACATCACCAGGTTTTTTAGTTGCTACAGGCTTCTGTTTTTCATAAGCTAGAACCGTTAAAATAAAGGCATAAGGACTATGAAAACTGGGTAAGAAGAGAGACAGAAACAAGAAAACTGAATGCCAGTTATTTTGCAAAATCCATTTCTGTATTTGAAATTTCAAATACAAATGATGCTGTTGGGCCTGCATATTGTTGCTTCTGAGTTTTGCTTCCTTGAATTAAAGTTTCCATGGAAATCCTCTGCTAATAATTATTTTGCTATGCTTCTAATTACAATCCCACTGCAAGTCTTGCCAGTACCACAGCAACCTCCCTTCACAGAATATCATAGAAATATGAAGAAAAAGAAACCATCCAGAAAAAGCAAAAAGGAGAATCTAGTAAACTCAGAAGTAAAATGCAGCTAAAAATGATAAAATCTTAGCAATATATATACATATAATCTGTTTATGACAGACAAGAATATGGTGGTGTTAAGTGCAATCTGGTTTTATCCGTCTTCTTTTTTTTTTTTTTTTCCCCTGCTCCTCTTCTTGCTTTTAGGTTTCATTTTCCAGGCTCAGGCTCTGCGTAAATACAGTTCTTTTGGGAAATTTGTCAGAAATCTCCTATGTCTATGTCTCCTGTTGTCTATCATTTCCAGACTGGCTGCAAAACGTATTAAAATCAAGAAATACAACCTGAGATGATAAATTAAATACAAAGATTTCAGAACAGAGACACATCACCACTAGACCAAACTGCCGAGGCCAATGGTGGGTTCTCACCATTTGGCAGAGACAGGGTACCTGCCTGTAAGGTGTGTGTAAGACAAACAGAAATTTTTGAGCCTTGTACAGAAGTTACTGGATGAAGGACCGGTGCCTGTGAAACAGTTTATGGTGTATCCTACTTCTCCTCCTAAACTTCAGTATAAACCAAACTAGAAACCAAATTATCTATTCTAGGATCATGGAAGCATCTGTTACATCACTCTGCCATCACAGCAGTTTGGGCAGTTCTTCCTGCAGGCAAGACAAAGCGATGGAAGGAAGGGCTGGCAAAAATGCAGCCCAGATGCATTAAACCCCAGATGCACCAGCTGCTCAGCTATCTCTAAATAGGCTATGTGCTCCCTGATACATGCATATAGTGCTATCACTAGGCGCAGAAAAAGGGCAGAGCGTTGAATCTACTTTGACTTTAGGACACCACAGTGTCTCAGAGCAAGGAACTACACTTCTGTTTGGCTCTCTGACACTGAATCTGGGATAAAGACTGCTCACACCGGGACTTGCAGTTTTTCAGCAGTGGTACTCCAGCAGGTATTTTCCTTAAAGGATACGAAATTCAGGAAGCACTGTTTCTCCAGACAGTTCACTCCAGATGCTGCATCTCCTGAACTTTTACCAATATCTTACGTGTCATGAAAAATTTACCTGATACATTTGACACTTTTAGCATGTTCATACAGTGATGCAGTTCACTGTTCCCACACCAGAACAGTCACTTTTGCTCTCTTTTACACAGAGCATTAAGCAGCAGAGGCAGGTTCAAAATTTTAATGCTGTAAGAGGGGCAATTTTTAAAGCAATCAAACTGTATGGAAAAAGGATTGAAAAATTGTCAGTTATTGGGATTGGCATTTCTATATAAATATTGTACATTCGTGATGGTGACTACATATTAACCATGCTTTCTTTGTGTTAGAACAGCTTTTGCAGCCACCTGCCCTAACTGTCAAATGTAGGAATTATGTGAATTCCTACTCTTTACCAGTTTGTTCCATAAATACAAAGAACAGTAAAATTAACACTATATGTACAATTTTAAAAATTATCACATGACTACATTCAAACAGATATGAAGAAATGTATCAATGTCTTCCTGTTTTCTTGTGGTTGGTCTCTGTTTTTCAGACATCAAACAAGTAATTCTTCTTGGCTGTGTATTTGGAATAGTCGGTCTTGCAGTCCTAGCACGTCTGACTTTCTTATGTAGAAAAGAGAGGTAAGACTCAATTGAACTGAAAACACAAATGAACCTGCTAAAGAAATAGCAAGTGTTATGACCTTTTTAATAACTTTTCTCAATGACAAAGAAATCAAACATGGTATTTTCCTGCTACTATCTTTTCTGCAAAACATCATGTCTGCATAGTCCTTGTGTCCTGCCGGAAGACTATGAAGCAAAGTTGGAATTGCATTATCAAGACATGCCAGAATGTGATTAGTTGATTGATTGAGAAGGAAACGGACTTTTTGATCAAAATAATTTATTTGTTGAGTGGTAAGGCCACCTGATTAAAAGTGTTCTGTTTCAGAACAGGTATGCTCATGATACCAAGAGGGAAATTTGATGTATCATCTAAGGAATGCATTGCATGGTACTGTAACTTTCCACATACTTTTAAACATATTCCCACTTTTAGGCATGCAAGAATTTGCCTAGAGAATGCTTGTATGTCTCTTGTGCCAAACAGGCGAATAGAATTTTAAAGATATATCAGTTTGCTCCCCATTCTTGGAACCTTTCTACCACACAGAAATGAACTCGCCATCAAAACTATTGCATTTTTAAAAGAAATGTCTACAAAAAGTTATGTGGCTAGTAAACGACTTCTTTAAGGTTTTAGTCCTTTGTTTTAAAAGGTTGCTATGATTTCATACATTCTGTGTATAATTCATTCTGGTAGCCAGTGCTAAGAAGACACAGAAATATATTTTTGGCTCTGTGCCTTTCTAACAGGTTCACCATTGCAGACTCTTGAAACAGAACTCAGTATGACAGCCATGCCCATCACTGAAAATGCAGCCCATTGATTCCAAGAGCAATCATCAATTAATCGTGTCTATCAGAGTGCCAGAGACACTGCTAATTTTTGCCCCTTCTCTTTAAATCACATAAGCATTGTCCACACTTCACAGAGAACACTCATACCAAAACCACTTTTTCTTCCTCCCCTGTACAAAAATAATTTAAAAAAAAGGATACTCACGCTGGGTAGATAACTGCAGCAATTAATGGTTTTTGCATACATAAAAATGCATAGACAGAGAACACTTCCTATAGTTGCCAAATTTTACACACACCAGATTCCTACATAAAAACCCAACTGGTTTAAATCACTACTATTAAAGCTGCAAAGACTTCTCACATTTGCAAGCAGCTTACAGACCTGCTACTCTAAACTCGTCACTGTACATAAAAAAACTTATTAAAAAGAATAGAAGGGAGCCTTCAACCCTTCTAAACTCTTGTATATTCTGCAAATCTGTAGGTAATTTTCATATGCTACCAAAACCTTATCATTTATGAAAAAAATTTTGAGAGAGTTTATAATAGTCCATAGCACTCAGCGGGGCTGTATATTTGGATGCAGTCTTTTGTATAGCAGTAGCAAATTTTGAACAGATAAATTTTAACTAGGGATGGCTTATTAGACAATTATTGAATCATGAAAGACTGTCATCTATTGTATACTCTTCTGGATCTCAGGGTAAATATAACAAGTCGCATATTTTATATAGGAAGAGAAAGAAGTAGTCCTACATACTGTAGGGCTTTGAAAACAACTACCTCTGCACCCAACTCCAGAAAAGCAGCAGCGCTTGGTGTTCACAGCTAGGACCATACTTATGTAGTAAGATAGAGTGAAGTACCTTAAAAGCAGCAAGGCCAATAGAAATATACAAAAATCCTAATCATTGAATGCTATGTGCTTTTAGATTTCTTTTTCCTTTAACAAACAAACAGAAAAACAAGTAGGGGCTGTGTTTTCAAACTTTCCCCAGCCACCTTTCTATCCTAAAAGTGAAAGATAAGTTTCTCAGACAATCACATGATTCTATAAGCAGAGATTGGTGGGGGGTGAGGGGAATCACAGTATTTAGAATAAAAATCGCAAGAAATCAAAATACCAAGGTGCTCAAAAAATTTGTTTATGCTTTTCCCTCTCAGTCAGTTGTGAGGGTTGCTAGGTAGTCGCAAATGTATCTGTTAATATTTTGGTGATATGCTTCACTTAGCAAAAAAAAAAAAGCCAACGTTAAGGTCCAGGATTTACCACTGAATCCCGAGTTCCCTGCTCACTCAGACTTTTTTTCCTCTCAAAAACCAATCTTCTTTCCAGACCCTTCATTATCAGTGTTTTCAAACCAGTGACATTTGCCCAGTTTCTCCTTTTGCTCCTATAATTTAGGCCATCATACGAGAAAACAGAAATTGATTGTTGCACAGGGATAACAGCAAACCTTCAGTATTCTCTAATTTTATCAAATATTGCTCAAACAGAAGTGCTACATATCCTTCAGTCACTACTTTTGGTAATTTAAATATTTTGAATCTTCAGTGGTGTATGACAGGGGAGGGATATCGTTCCTTGGGGGATGTATGCACTGGAATTACACAGAACTGGTACCTTAAAAATTGGTGCAATATTACTATTCCACCCAACCCGATATTCTCACCTTGATCTAAGCAATGACATTATGGCAACTACTTTAACAGTCATCTCTAGCCTTTTTTTTTAAAAAACTTTTTGTCTTTTCTTCCAAAGACAAAAAGGCAACCAGAAACTTCTTTCAGAGGTTCCAGTTGTATCTGAACAAGAAACAATGAAATTCCAGAGGAGTTTTTAATGAAATACAGAAAAAGCATAGCGGAGGATTAAATCGTCCACAGCAACACAGACAGACTTTCCAAACGCAAGCAATGGTTTTCTATAGTATGCCATCATTTGATTTTTGCTTTCAATATAATGAGTGTTCAATTGTATGGGAAATGCTAACCAACTTCCTGGCATTATACCATGGCAGCCTCAGCCTAGTGTCTATCACGAGCAAAGGATAATGCTGCTGAAAGCGTCAGTCTCAACACGATGGGCACAAGTTTCTTCTGACAGTCACATCTCTGCCAGAACCAGAGTTCTGACAAAATCAAACGAGTTCATGATTTCTCTGCACTACTCTTCTTTTACTTGAAAGCTGGTAAAATGAAAAGAATCCTCGCCTACTACGCTAGCCACTATCAGACAAACATTTGCCTTCTCTGGGGCCATGTATGGCTCATTTACATAAATGTAAAACGTACAGTCTGTGGACGTACAGTCAGATGGACTACTGGCAAGTTGGGCTGGATTTGCAGTGTGTTTGAAAAAAAAACGTTTTGGCCAGTCTCTGAATACAGACTCAAAGTGGCATTTTTGTTTCAGTTCTGACCTAATTTTAAAAGGATACAACTGGGGGGAAGGGAGGGGAAGTACTCAGAAAATGAAACCTTTCCTTCCAGGTTAACTTATAATGATTTTTTAAAAATCCATCTTTATTCAACTGTCCAATTAGGGTCCATCTTCAAAACAAAAAATCTGTTACCTGCACTGGAAATGTTTTGCAAAACTTACATTTTCCTTGATAAATGGCAACATGCATACTCTTTTAATATCTACAGTGTGTTTCATTATCTTCATTAAAATGTGATTTCTGAACTACTACCTTGTACAGAATCCTTTTACCAAAAAAAAAAAAATCACCATTTGCTTTTGCCTACCTCTCAAAGGGTTTGTGAAGTCAGTCCTGTATTGCGCAACTCTTTTCAACGGTGAAAGAATTCCTAACTTTTACAGGTTGTTTGGTTTGTTTTTCTAAGGTCTTTAATTCATAAACTACTGGTAAATCACAGTGTTTTCAAAAAGCAAGGACAAACTATGTACCAAATGTACAGGAAAACTAAACGAGTGAAACAGTACAGATTTTACATTATCACGGGAACAAGACAAATTGAAATGCCTCAGACCGTGTATTATGAAGTATAAAATTATTCATTACTTATTAGCTGCTGTTGCCATTGTTGTTGTTTGTAAACAGAGACCACAAACCACAAGCATAAAATTACAAAATGAGAATGAGTGATCTTGAATACTGTAAGTTGAAATACAAACAATTCTGTACAACACAAAGAAAAAAATCTTGTTAAAAAAAAAAAAACAACTTTGAAAGAAGACTGGGGAATGATCATTGGCAACCAACTGGCTGTCCATTGCCAGCGTGCTACAGTTTAAAAAAAGAAAAAAGGTGCAACTGCTGTATACATACATATCAACTGTGTGTGCAACTGATGGGTGCAGAAAGCAGCAGCAGAATGAACGAAGGTGATTTTGCCTAAGAGTGCTGGAAGACTGCACTGGCCTTTTGGAGATATACAAGGTTGATTTTGTGAACTTGGTTATCGATACAGTGTTAAAAAATTGTAAGCCTTCTCTGTTCTGGTATCCTTAAAGAACATAATGCCAAATAAAGTGGAATTGAAATTGGGTGAACAGATAACACAGTGGGGTCCCAGTCCTTGGAGAGGAGAGTTTTGTGGGTCATTAAATCACGAAGTAGTAATGCCTCGTGCTGTTAGACAGCATGTACCACAAGGAAGTGCTGCATGCACACACAGTGACTTGGAAAGGAACACTAGCAGCACGTGATGTCAGTAGCTGTACTGGGTTTGCGTGGCAAGGTTTTGGTAGCGGGGGGCTACAGGAGTGGCTTCTGTGAGAAGCTGCTAGAAGCTTCCCTTGTGTCAGATAGACCCAGTGCCAGCAGGCTCCAAGATGGACCCGCCGCTAGCCAAGGGTAGCCCATCAACAACGGTGGTAGCGTCCCTCTGACAACTTATTTAAGAAGGGGGGAAAAAACCTGCACAACTGCAGCCAAAGAGAGGAGTGAGAATATATGAGGGGTGGGGGGAGGGCTTTTTTAAGATTTGAGTTTATTTCTCATTATCCTACTCTGATTTGATCGGAAATACATTAAACTAATTTCCCCAAGTCGAGTCTGTTTTGCCCGTAACAGTAAATCGTGAGTGATATCTCCCTTATCTCAATCCATGAGCCTTTTGTTGTATTTTCGCTCCCCTGCCTAGTTGAGGGGGAACGACAGAGCATCCAGGCAGGGTCAACCCGCCAGAGTAGCTCTGACTGGGAAGGAACATATACAGTGAATTAGAACTCCGGTCCTCCTGAAAAATTTGTACGTTATTCTGAGAACGCAGACGATTTCTATGAATCAGAATTATTCTGCTTAGTCCGTGATAAACAAAGCAGTGGTAAAAACAAACACCCACTGCCACCACAAGATGTTCCTTCTGGTTGGTCTGAGTAACTTTCCCATCACAGTGATCTCTAACTCCCTTGTTTATACACACACAGGCGCACATGTGCGCACACACATTCAGTGGCAACAAAATCATGTCTGCTCGCAGCGCTCTTGTGCAACGGAAGTTCAGGATTGGGAAGTTTAGCAGAGTTGTGAGCCAAATAACTGATGTATTGTGTTAGGAGGAACTAAATATTTCTGCATTTACTATTTAAAAAACAAAACAAAACAAAAGCCACCAAGCTAACAGAACACTGCTATCGTTTTTCAGTATTTCATCAGCTTAAAAAGTCTACATTCACTAGGAATTCAGCTCAAAGAAATAGGAATGTGGCACATTATTATGCTGTGATATTAAAATATACATGTAAAGCCATGCTAATATGTAGTACTTTTTCTGCTTTTTATCGATATTGCAAAGGCCAAAATGAGTTTACGCACGTTTTTCACCTCAAAAACAACCTTACAGCTTTATATCACGGGAGGGTTCTGCATGCTAAAAGTGAGATGTACCATAGTGTGTATCCATACAATTGTTAAAGCCTACAAACTGTATTTTGCTGCTTCCTCCTTTGGAGCAGCAAAAGCGCTCTCCCCCTTCAAGGTGTTTGAAGGTGCCAGCCCATCACACACGCACACAAGAGCTATCCTTCTGCACGCGCATTCACCATTCTCAGAAAGCGTAACACTGCTCCTTTTCTGCCGGTTCCACGGCCCGCTAGCTGCTGTCTCTGCGTCCGCCTCTCTGCGGGTTTGGATCGCTGTGGGTACGCGCGTCTCCTTGCGCCCGCGCGTGTCCACGCGCCTGGATGTGTGTGCGCGCGCATCCTTGTGCCCCCGCGTGTCCGTGCTCGCCCGCGAACGCCTTGTGCCTCTGCGCGCCCCGCAGCGTGAGACCCTCTGCTCCTTCCCGGCC